GATAAATAAATCCATTTGATGCTCTCCATCGCCTCCATGTGTGACCAGTTGATTGGTGCGTCTTCTGTTAAAGCCAACACGCCATACTCCTTAGAGACAGTCGATGTGGCAAAATCTCGAACAAGATCGTGCATATCGAAGTTCAAACTACTACCACTATCCAGCAACAAAGAAGAATCTTTGAGTTTAGTCACCAAATTTAGCACTTGAGCTCGTGCTTCCTCTACAGATTTGACTCCTGGGAATAAGCCCAAGCCTATGCCATATTTCAACAAGTTTTGAATGGTTGCATTCTGACCCAGTAGACTGCAAAGCAAGAAAATTTGTTGGAGTTCGTTGCTTTTCAAACCACTGTAATGCAACTCGATGGCTGAACACAGGCTTTGTGGTATCTGACTTGAATTCGGCAGGGTTTGTAGCTTTCGTAAAGTTGTCTTCCACTCAATAAATTTCCTTCTTCTCAAGGCATTTGCGAGTGTTGCAACAGCAATGGGCAATTCCTCACACTTCTTGGTAATCTCGTTTGCATAAAACGGCAAACCACGACTTTTATCTGGATCACCAGCTATCTTCTTAAACAGATTCCATGCTTCTACCTGGGTTAATATGTCAATTTTAAATTGTGTTTCAGATAGAAGAGATACAACATCTCTATCTCTAGAGGTCAGCAAAAGTTTGTAAGATATAACATTGTCTTCTTCCTTCCCATTTATTCCAAGCAACTCCAAAGATAATCCTGGCTCCCATAAGTCGTCCAAAATCACGAGGACCTTTTCTATCAGCCCTGTTTGTTCATTAGAAACACGTGCAATTTCATCTTCAATTCTGGCTAAGTCTGGATTCCTACCTACAGTTGCCATTAGAACTGCATCAAACAACCCCTCTTGCTCAGCTCTTCTTTTAACTTCTCTAACCATCATTGTCTTCCCCACACCAGGCTTCCCGCACACTCCTATCTTGTTGATGAAAGGACTTCGTAGTGCCTCCATGATGCCCTTCAAAACATCACTTCTAGATCCAAAGTCCTCAAAACGATCAGCAAGCACTTTCTGTTGTCGATAGGATAGTGGGATGTTGGAGAATCCACGAGCTTTTTGAACATGTCCAGCAATATCCTTGCATATCTGCTCGGCCTTCTTTCTAAGTTGGAAAGGAGACTTCCCACGGTTCCCAACATCTTCTGCCAAATAGTGTGCTGTGTGAATGAGATTTGATGTTTTCTCCAACCAATTCTGGAGCGCCTCGGTTCTGCCACCGTAAAAATCTTCAGTATAGCGCTTCACACTCTCTTTCTCGTCCTCCAAGTCAGCAATTTGTTTCCTCAGCATCTTGATGACATTGGACTGGTCCTTGTGCACAAACATGTTGTGATTTGTGGTGAAATATTGATCAACAACTGGACAAATGAACAAAGAATGCTACTCTGTTCTTTCTAATTCTCTCTCCCTCTCTCTCTTTTTTGACAGATCTCTCTCTCTTTTTTAAAAAAGGTTTTGAGAAATATTTAGATGATAAAACAAAGCTACAGAGAATACAAGTGGATTGACAAGGAACAAAAGCTAAATAATCAATGGATAGTGCAGTGCAGATTAGTTTGAGAGATTATGGAAGTATGAATCTAAAGAAGACTGAAGGAAATGACAAATTAACCAAAGAGAAAGCTGGATTTGGGGGTAGTGAAAGATGAAAGAAAAAGGATTTGATTTCATGCATACAAATGAAAGGGGTGAAATAACACAAATGAGCAGAGAAGCGGACTTCGTGGAAACTGAAGGACAAGAGGCAGTGCTTTGATTAATTCTGGCTCAACCTTTTATGTTTGCTGGCCTGTGTCTGAATAGCTTGCCAGAGGATTTTCTTTTATTTAATGACCGAACTTTTAAATCAGCCCCTCAACTTATCACATTATGAATAACCGGCCCCTTAACTTCTTTTCTGCGGGCTAGTCCACTCAACTAATTGATTTGGGTTAATTAGCCCTTATTTAATTGTTAATATAAGAAAACACCAGTTGGTTAGATGTTCCACTGGTTTAGTTAAAGCATCTCTCCAATGGGATACTCTATAAGATATCGCTAAATGTCACATTATTATAATTTATATAATTTATATTATATTATATTATTTATATTTAAATAATATAATTTCTTAATTAAATGATTATTAATTTTTAAATCAATTTAAAAATTAAAATATTATTTGATGTAATGGAATTTTTCCTTAATATTTAGAAGTATTGTCTTAGTTAAATTATTTTGTCAAAATATGTTATATTTGGAGGAGAGTTAGTAGAATTCCATTTACTATACTTGAATATGACGTTACTTTTTGTTGTAATTTTGTGCATATGATGGATGGATGAGAAAATGTTTTCAGTGCTGAGTTTCATATTTCTCAAACTATATCACTATTTTCTGATTCTTCATTTCATCACATTTCTTTTGATCTCTTGTTCAATATCCATTTTTCAACGAAGATTTATATAGCTTAAGACTTTAGGGCATAAGTTAAAGATATATTAATTGTTTTTTTTCTTTAATTTATATAAAAAATATGAAAATTAATTTTATTTTTAACACTAATAATATA